CTCACGCGCGCGCCGCCTCAGGGGTCGCCCCAGGCTGCGCCTCAGGGCCACGTCTCCTAGACGCGGGGCGCCGGGGCACTGCCTTCTTTGGCTCTTAGGTGGGGTTTTGGATCTCTGTTGCGAATATTATGCTAAACTTGATACTTCCTTGTCGGCTACCCTCCAGGAAACATTCCAGTGGCACTCGCGTGGTGTTCTTGGCTTGAACTTCTCTTCCTTATCTTTCATTCATTAATGGAGTCAGTCATTCTTTCATTCAATAAATATTTGTTGAGAACACACTATGTGCCAGGTGTTGAGGGCACACCGTGTGCCAGGCACTGTGCTAGGACTGGGATCCAAGGGACACATAGACGATGGTTCCTGCCCTCATGGAAGTTTAGTCTTCCCTCAGGAGCTCTTTAAAGTCTTTTCAAATCTCTCTGCCCTCTCTCCTCACTCGTTTTCATTTACTTGGAGTTGAGTCTTATATTCCTTTTGGCAAAATCCAGTTGGAGTGTCCTGGTCCTCATCAGTTGGCTGCTCTGGGTCTTCGATTTTATCTGTTGAATAAGAATTTTTCTCCGAATTAGCCCACAGGAGAGGAAAAGATAATGCTACTACCAAACCAGAAACGGACAAGCACTCTCTCCTGTTTCTCTCTTTACTATCTTCTCCCCCTCTCAGTTCATTGCCTGAGATACAGGTTGGGGAGGGGAGGTAAATTTACCAATGAGTAGTTCAAGACAGGTTAGACCAATAGGAAGAGTCACTTGCCTGTGTTCTAGTCCCACTAAATTACTTTTGCTCCTCTCAACCTCAGAGTAACATCAGCATATTTAACCCAGATATCTCAGGTGTTGCAATCAGATGTCCAACAGACTTCCTATGTTTCAATGTAAAGGGTAGCATCTCAACAGGTCTTCTTTTCCATATAGTCCAAATTAGTCTTCCTGTCTCTAATATCGAGATTATCTTTTACGCTTATGTTAGAATTATCCTTGTGAAAATTTATTTGGTCATGTCATTCTTTGGTTTAAAAACTATTTGTTTCCTTTTTTAGTTACAAGGTCTTTTATAACTGACCCCACCTATCTTACCAGGCTCAACTCCAACAATATCTTTAATTGGCTCCAAACCACACCACTCATTGCTCCTAGCTACAATAAATTTCTCTCTGTACTCTCTATACCAGCAGTCCTCAACCTTTTTGGCACAAGGGACCGGTGCTCCTATGAGAATCTAATGCCTGATAATCTGAGGGGGAGCTGAGCTGGTGATGTTAGTGATGGGGAGCAGCTGCAAATACAGATGAAGCTTCATTGCTCACTCACTTGCCACTCCTGCTGTGTGGCCTGGTTCCTAACAGACCACCGACCAGTACTGGTCAGCGGCCCAGAGGTTGGGGACCCTTGGTCTAGGTGAGTGATGATAAAGTCCTGAACTCTGATAATGGACAGAAAAGGATGGATTTAAGTTATTTATGAGGCAGAATTTTCAGGACACGATGACTCCTTACATATGGAAGTGGCAGGCAGCCTCCAAGATGGCTCTCCCCAAATCCTTATATTTCACCTTTATGTAGTCTCTTCCCACAGTGCATCACGGTTAGCCTGTGTGATGAGTAGAATATGGCCGAAATGATTGTATGTAATTTCTGAGGCTAGGTCATAAAAGATATTTTGGCTTTCGCTTTGCTCTTTTGGATCACTTGCTCTGAGGAAGCCACTCCATGTTGTGAGGACATTCAAGCGGCCCTCCAGAGAGGTCTACGTGGAGGGGAACAGAAACTTACTGCTAATATCCAGAACCAATTTGCCAGGCATGGAAGTAGGTCAGCCTGGAAATGGATCCTCCAGCAACAGTCAAACCTTCAGATGACTGCAGTCCATCTAATATCTTAACTGTAAACTTATGAGAGACTGGGAGTCAGACCATCCAGCTAAGCTACTCCCAAATTTATAATATAGGGAAACTGTGAGAGATAATAAATGTTTGTTGTTTTAAGCCACTACATACTGTTGTTAACTTGTTACATTTGTTATGCAGCTCAGATAACTAATACTAATGGAGGATAAAGGAGGAAAAAGCAAGGATTACCTGCAAAAAAGCTGTAAACTGGAGGATTAAATGCTTGAAGAAGGAACAGAGGTTGGGATGAGAGAGATGGTGAGTTATGCTCAGGCTTTGTGTTTGTCTCTTCAGCAGGATCCAAGTGGACATATCCATTTTTGCTTCTCACCCTCAAAGACTATTCTTGGACACTCGGTTCAAATGTCACTTCTGTAAAACCTTCTCGATTTTCTCAGGCAAAATCTGTCCCTCCTGAGCACTTATTGTATATTATTATAGCAAGTGTGAATTACTTTGTATTGCAATTATCTATTTGCAGTTATTTGCTACATATCTGCCTCATACATTGTGGGTTCTCTAAAACAAGGAATGAATACACACACACGCACACACGCACACACACACACACACATATATATATACATACACATACTATATTAATTTTCTACTTCCGATCTAACAAATTACCACAATCTTAGTTGCTTGAAATAACGCAAATTTATTATCTTATAGTTCTGCAGGTTAGCAGTCCAGCACCATCTCACTGGACTAACATCAAA